GGCCAAGTACCAAAAAACTGGAGACATCTCTATGCCCAAGAACCCAAGAAAGTATTCAAATTGCCAGTCCACAGGGACCCTTGGAATCTTAGCTAACCACACCCCACTTGCCATACATAACACGCCCCTGCAGGCTCTGCTGTCTGTGGGTGCAACCGCCTATGTCGCCCAGCCTGGCAGTCTTCTCTCCTCTGCAGCTGTAGGTAACAAAGGGTGTCACCTTTCGTCTTTCTGAGTGTCAGAGTATTGTGTCCCGCTATCAAAAAGACCTTTGCGTCTTATAAAATTGCCAGCACTTGGCTCTAGCGCTGGGGAATCTGCACCCTGACCAGCCTCTAGTCGTTCCCCCACTGCTTCGCCAGTCTTTTGTCATTTCAATTCCTGGCTTTCTTCTGTATCCTTCATGCAGAACCTAAATAGCCTGGTGGTTACTCCTGACTCGGATGTCACTGGGGCTCGGGTCCTCAACTCCCAGGGTTTGTAACTGCATCTCTGTGCTCCTCCCTTCCCCGCCCTTCCAAGAAGGAAGTTAATCATCGCATCTCCTTGGGGGTTGCTATAAGAGAAAGTGCAGGCTGCCTCAGATGCTCACTAGGGCAGCCATTGCACACACACATGCACACACATCCCTGTGCACTGGAAACGAGACAGAAGCCAAAACGGACCACCAGGTGGTCTTAGCAGGGAAGCAAGAGCAAACCAAGTTTGGGCTCAGGCCACACGTTATGGACAGCAATCAACTTGGGCCTTTTGATGTCATGTCCAAGGAAAGCAACGCACCCACTGACAGTGCCACATGCTGACAGCATTGGGCAAAGCAGAGCTCATCACACCACACCACATTTCTTATCCTGCACTGGGAAGGATGTTCCCAAATCCTGTAAAGGATTTGGGAACATCTTGTGAATTATGTATTATGCCTTTTGCAATTTGAAAGCATTTACTTCTTCAAATGTGACCATTTAAAATAGACCACATATTTGAAAACTCCATGTTGGCTTTATTTGTTCATTTATATTAAGTAAAGAAACGTGGAGAAAAAAGTCAAAATGACCTGGTCCTCTCTCTAAATCAGAAGAACCCTGCAGAGGTCCCAATTTGGTCAGGCCTCTTGTGGATCACCTGCAAAAAGGGCATGTGATCCTCTGGAATTTGAAATTTCCAGCTCAATTCTGTGAACTTGTGGATGCTTTGGCCAGAGGGTGTGCTGATTGAATTAGATTATTAAAAATGGAGAGGATGGGCAGAACAGGAAAGGAAGTGGAAAGGGGGACGGAAAGGGGCACAAGGGCGGCGGCAGGAGGCGGCGGCCCAGCAGAGGTGCTGCCTCCCCAGGTGCGCGCCCCGCCCCTGCAGCACCCGGGGCCGCGGTGCGTTCCCACCCGCCGGCGCTAGAGGGCGCGCCCCCGCCCAGACGCGCGGTGCTCTCAACAGGGACCAGTGGAAGCTCCACCTGATTGAGCCTGAGCAGGCAACCTGTGCCTGCCCAGGTGCGGGGACTCTGCCACCCCTGGGGGCGGGGCTGGAGGGAGGTTTTCCCTGTGCACTGGTGAAAGCGATCTCACCTCCTATAAATCCTGAGAATGCCTTTTGCTTTTTTTTTTCTTTGAAGAGAGGTTTAGATTAAAAGAGTGTTGCAAATGGTCCAGTAATCTTTGCAAAGTCATCTCTCAGGATGTCTTAGGCATTCCTGAATTTAAATCTCAGCTCTGCCCTTCACTGGGTGACCTTGGACAAGGAAATTCACCTCTCTGAACCTGAGTTCTGTCCACCCTCTAAACTGGGGATGATAATGCGTGCACCTAAATCTTAAGATTGGGGTGAGGATTAAATAAGGTCCTGCACCTGCAGGCGGCTCACAGGGCACCTGGTAGAGACACGCGCCGCACATACGTGAGCAGCCACGCACAGTGCAGGAGCAGATTCTGTGCAGTTTCCATTAAACCAAATAATGGCTTTGCACAGCTAATCAGCCTGCACTTTATTCTGTTATTTGTTGGCAATTAGATCTGGCTGTTGATTCAATTATCCAGGTCTAGAATTAGACTCTAACCCTGAGCTAAGGAAACCTGTTTTCAGCTGCTTCAATAACCTACCTGGCGGTAGAGGGACCCCTTCTGTGGTCAAAGGTCTCTCCTAGTTGGCCACAAGGACACCATTAGCTAAACCTACAGGTAGCAAAGAAAACCTTATTTTCCCCCAAGCCCTGAGCAGTTACAGTATGTCAGCGCAGCCTGATGAGTGTTTACCCAACATAATAAAACAGTGTGCTGATTCCCGATCCAGCCAAAAGCTTAAGTGTCATTTAAATAGGGCACGATATTTAAAATATTAATTTTGTTATCTTCTAGCATCTTATAATTATAACTCAAAAGTGCCACTCAGAACATATTTGCATATGTAAAGAATTCGTCATTATTGTTTCTCTGCGGCAGAAATGGATGCTGGTTTGACTTCTGAACCTGAGTCGAGCCTCCAGTTACTGGGAAAGAGATGATATGATGTGCTTCTGCATCAAAGCCTGCTCGGCGTCGGAGAAAAGTACAACAGGGCACGAAAGGTCAGCAGGACAAGTGGGAATGCCACATCCATCGTGTGTGATGCTTTCCCCATCTCAGCGCGGCTCCGTGACGTCCGCCTGTCCTGCTGCCAAGGCTGTCAATACACTAAAAGTCACTCCAGAATTCCTCGGGGCTCAGCACGAACCACAGAAGGAACACCGGAGATTATTACCTGGCTGCAACATTCTCCGGCTGGAGTGGCTATGTTATTTCTCTAGAGTGTTATTCTCCAAATAGTTCTGATCGTGCACCTTTATCAGTGAGTGTGCACACATCCATAAAATAACAATGATTACAGTAGCTGTTTTCCTGCCTCCCAAACATTTCCAGGTTACTCTCTGACCAGAAACATGATGGGATTATCACTCTGGAGGGGAGGGCATCAGCTTCAATTTGCCAGATGCCTGGTCCTGTGAGCCACAGGGCTGGCAGTAGAAGGGGCGTATGCTGGCAGGAAGGGAAAGCCTTCCAAAAACGCGACTGCTTATGTCACCTGTCCTCCTTCCCGCATGGTCTGAGCCAACCCTGCATGGCCTGGAGCCCCTTCCTGGGCGTTCCTGACCTCATCGCCCCTTGGTCATCTTGCTGGACGCCAATGCATCAGTCGCGCTCCCCACTGTGGCCCTGCCCCTGCTCCTCCTTCTGTCCTGGAAGCTCCCTCCCCCCAGATACCTGCGGCTCCCCACTCGCCCTGCTGGGTCCCTGCTCAGACGTCAGCTTGGCAGTGGCCTTTGCCTATCATTCTCTTCTCACCTCCTGTCTCCACCACCAGCCACTCTCTCTGTCCCACTCCTGATTTACTTGTCCCCACAGCTCTTTACCCGACAAGCCTGCTCTGTATTTACCAATATACCTGGTGACTGTTTCCTCTCTCAGAAATATAAGTTCTGTTTATCATCTATCTGCAATGCTAGAACAGCGACCAATCAAATTTCCAAAAGAAAGGTCATGGTGAAATGGTGTGTAAGGTGAGACTCTTTGCAAGTTTCCTCATTCATATATCGTTTTCCAAGTATATGTGTGTTTATGGGTTTTGAGCCGATGGAATGTAAGTATAGATCAACTTGTATGCTTATGTGCTACCATATATGGAAGGTTATCTGAAAATGAAGCCAACACAGAGGACAATATATCTGAGACAGGGGGAGGAAGAGAGAGAAGAAGAAGGAAGAAGGAAGAAGGAGAAGGAGTAGGGAGGGAAGGAGGAAGAATTGCTAAGAGTATTGATTGAGCAGCTGGATCAAGCTATACCTGAATTCACAAGCCTGACTTTTCACTTACAAGTGCCAATACATTCCTTAGTTTCTTGTCTAGAGAATCTGTTCATGTCATGAATTCCTAAAACAACAAATGTTGGCATGGATATGGAGAGATAGGAACACTCATACACTGCTAGTGGGACTGCAAACTAATACAACTTCTATGGAAAGTAGTATAGAGATACCTCAAGGAGCTACAAGTAGAGCTACCATTTGATCCAGCAATCCCATTACTGGGCGTCTACCCAAAAGAACACAAGACATTCTACAAAAAAGACACCTGCACTTGAACGTTTATAGCAGCACAATTCACGATTGTAAACATGTGGAAACAACCCAAATGCCCATCGATACATGAGTGGATTAATAAAATGTGGTATATGTATATCATGGAGTACTATTCAGCCATACAAAAATTAAAGAACTAATAACACATCTTGTATTACCCTGGATGGAGCTGGAGCCCATTCTTCTAAGTGAAGTATCACAAGAATGGAAAAACAAACACCACATGTACTCACCATCAAATTAGTACTAATGGATCAACACTTATGTGCACATATGGAAGTAACATTCAATGGCCCGAGATAATGGGGGGGGGCATCTTTCATGCCCCCCCAATTATAATCTTATATTGGTAAATAAGGTAAGAGACTGGGAGACTAGACATTCGTCGGGTGTTGGGCAGGCGGGAGGTGGGTGGAGGGGATGGGCAAACTCACACCTAATGGGTGCAGTGCACGCTGTCTGGGGAATGGACATGCTTGTAACTTTGACACAGGCGGTGTGAAGGCAATTTATGTGATCGCAAGCAAAGCATTTCTACCCCCGTAATATTCTGAAAATTTTTAAAATTACATTTAGAACTTAACATAATTCGGGATGCTTATGCCCAGGTGCCCACCTCCTAGATGACCAAAAACTCTTTGTAGTAAGAGAAACACCTTCCCACTGCAGCCAAATCTAGAGCCCGCATGTGGTTGGCATGCCTTAGGTTTGTTTTTGTTTTTTGATATAACTCAGGCCGAGTCTCTTTCCTGCCAGGGGTCTGCTGACTCCCGCCCCTCAGGACTCGCAGTCTGGGCTCTGAGGTCTGAGCTCCGCAGGGAGGTTCCCCCACCCAGCAAGGCGCTAACACGGTCTCCTGCCCCTTACCTTTCAAGCACGGGGAATTTCATACCTTTGTGTGTCCTGCTTCCTCAGCATGGAATACTATTGGGGCTTTTATCTGCCAATAAAGACTCCACACCCAATCACTACTGCCAGAATTCTCTGTTCCTCAAACTATCGGGGAACTGCAGTCATGGGGTTTCATGGCCTTTTGGTCACATCCATGAACCTGGTAACAAGATTAATGGTTTTGGTCCTTTATTTTTATCACATTAATCAAATTAGTCATTATTTTGGCTCATTATTTGGCATTTCGTATGAATGGAAATATTCGTCTTGACTTGAAAAGCAACCTGGTGTTTTCCTTGCTTTGTTCTATAATTTTATGTGAATGTTACAAAAAGCATGTTGGTGGTTGTAATATCTAGAATTTTGGAGAGTACGGTAACATGAGGTTTTTTTAAAAGTATTTAATTCTTTTTCAACCACAGTTTCATTATTATAAATAGTCAGCTAAAATAAATTGACCAGTATCTTGGGTTCCATAATTTACTAATAGGTCTCCTGTTGCTTGTGCCTTCTCTGAACACATGTCTTATCAGCAAAATGAAGAGTATCTCAGGCGCCCCTGGAAACTGGGCTCTCTCGAAGCCTCTGGAGACCCTGCAAGTTCCACCTGGAAGTTCCACCGCAGAGCACAGCAAACATTTGTAATCCAACCACACATGTGAAATGTATTTCTTTGGTAAAAAATTATTATTTTGCCTATGAAACTATCTGCCTTTAAGTAATTTCATTATTTACAGTTGACTACAATTTCTTGGTGTTCACTGTACACATTCAGAAACTCTTGAAAAGTTAGAAAGTCCCAGGAGAATTGTGAGGAGGGCATCTCTTTACAGTTTTACATGAATTTCAAATTTGGAGAAAATTGTGAATCACAACTCGTTATTTTCTATTCTCTACTTTGTTGACAATTCCTGGGGGAACTCCTGAGTGTATTTCTGCGGCAAAAGGACCCAACGTCACTTGTATTATACTCCAAGTGCTTGTGGTCAACCACAATTTTGTTATCCAAGCTGAAATCTAAAAAGTAGCCATTGATCTATACAGAAAGGAAATTGCCTGTGAAAATAGCTGCAGATTAAACTTCCATTTTACGAACAAAAAGAAAGTTTTAAAGTAAGTAGAATGCTGTTCAAGTCTAGCACATACTCGAACCTCTGTACACATGACTTCTCCCCAAAATAATCTCGTCATGATCTGGCGGATAAGGCCATTCACAGGGTCGTGCATTGGTGGAGAAAAGCAATGGGTTCCTCCAAAATCCATTACAATAAGTTTGTTCCAGAGCTCAAAAGGCAGCTGTTTGGAAAAAAAAACCCACAGCTATTGAAAAGTCAAGGGGCAAGAGAAAGAAAGCAACAAATTCCTACATATTTTTTTTTTTAAATGTTATTTTAAGAACGTCATGAATGGTCTTAAGCAAAGCAACGGATTTGAGATTAGCAAAATTGACAACAGTTCTATTTATTACGTGATATTGTTGGAAAAGGCAGACACCTGTACTATTAATGCTCATTTATATACAGCTTTAACTGAGCCATTCGCATTTCTAAGAAATAGAATTTTAAAGCCAAAAGTAGAAGGGCCCTTGCAGGATCACCTGAAGCAGTTCCCGATCCATTGGCTGATAGACTGAGCTACTGGAAAGAGGGGCGTTAACTGTTCTCTTAGTGAGATCTCCACGGATTCGGGAACACCGACAGCCCAGCTCCCTAGCCACGAGTATAGCCAAAAAGTTTCCTTATGTCTCTGCCCACTGGACTACAGTGTGTTTGTGAGCTTGCGCTGAAATTGCAGGCAGCAACAGGCCTGACCTCCCGGGAGGCCAGCGTTCGTTGCTGTTGTGAGCGTTTAAAGACGAGGCTGGTGAAGTTCCAAATCTTTCAGTTGATGGATATGAAGCAAGGAGAGTCAGCCATTAGCTGCAGAAGCGTTTGCAGAGAGACTGACAACGTCCTTACGGAAGATATCCTACTTAGTCAAAGGCTTTTAAGGGCTTGGTGGGGGGGGAGGTAGTCCAAGCGCAACTGTGCAGTGACTGCAAGGGAAGTTTATGGCGCTAAACTGACACACAGCTCTCCAGATGAGTCTAGCTCTTTTCTCTGAACATTTTTCAATTCTGTCTCCTTTGGATCTTACTTCCAGAAACAATGGGAATTCCACTTCTGAAAATAAGTTTCTCACTGAGACAGGGAGGAAAAATCTCCCTCTTCCCACACAGGCAGGCTCCCCCTACTGAATTAAAGTGAAAGATTTTGGGCGGGGGCGAAATAACCTGGGAGGGGGCAGAGGAAATGAATCTTTGTCCTGGAAAGTGTCATTAGACGGCACTTCCTACTACAAGGGAGTTGCTGGGATGGTGCAGGGACAACAGGAGGCACTACCTGTGCAAGCATTTCTCAACCAGAGCCGCGAAACGACCACGGCTGAGGATGCTCTCGTGATCACTCAGAGTCACCCAGAGTGACACAGCCTCTGCTCAGTCCCTTTGTTCGTTTGTGTGTAAACTCAGTTCAATGAAAACTCAAATGAAGTCGTGAAAGAAGGGTCCTTGACCCATATAACATACCCTCAGATGTATATAAACACAATATGCATACATAATATCCGTGTGTGTGCGTGTGCTGTGTGTGTGGATGTGGTGCTGTGTGGTGGTGTGTGTGAATACAGGAAGAGCCAGATGATAAACTATTCGTGGGATGTGAAATGACTGTCAGTTGTTCTCAGATTTGGTATGCAGAACTACTCAGCATAACGACCATTTCATTGACGTATTGTCCACTCTAGATATTCCCTGCAGATTAGAAACCATCAGGTTATAGCATCTTGTTTCTTCCAGCTAGCCAGTGTGCAACTATTCGACACTATACCTTGAATACCATAAACTCATGGGAAAGAGGCGTAAATATAGTAAGCTTTGAATCTGGTTTCTTGGGGCTGTGTGTTTCGCCTGTGATTGCCTGGATTTTCTGGGCTGAGTGGCCAAATTATTGGTCTTGATAAATGACCTGAACAAACAGCATTTATCAATCCTTACTTTCCCATGGAACGGGACCTCAGCACTGCCCGAGAGAGACAGCCAAGCCAGCTTCTCGAGAGGCACCAACCAACGAGGAAGGGTCAGAGGCTAGACAAGGACCACCATAACCTGGAACAAAAGAGGACGTCGCCCCACTGTCTCCAGGGCCCCAGTTGTGCCACCGTTAAGGCTCATAACACAGGGATCAAAGCACAGCTGCCACACCAGAGAATTGGCGGCTAGCACACAGGTCGCTGAAAGAAGGTCCCTTCGGTACCATATAACATACCTCAGATGTATATAAACATGTTGCTCAAAGGCAACATGTGTTGCCTTTGAGCAAACGCGGGAGATAAACAAAGTAGGCGCTTGTCGCAAGAAGAACAACACCTAGCAAACCTCAGAAATAATCCATGTGTACCAAGGGAAGAATGGTTGACGTCCTCAGCTGTTTTGCATTGCACACTGCCAGGGTAAATTCCAGACATAACCATATTTTACTATCTGGACAGAAGTTTCTATCTTGATAAACAATCGATTGCAGGGAAACAGTGGATTCACTTTTGTCCGCATTTGCCATATCTGTAGACTCAATGCTGACTTTTTGGTTTGAGAATAGTCTGCCTTTTCATTTTGATACGCGTCTTGTTTCAGTCTTTTGAGAAAGGGGTCTTCCAATTGTTGGATATTGGTACCACAGAAAGGCTCCTGTCAGAGACTGTTCAGTCCCAGCAGCAAGAGAGCCACAGGGGCTGTTTCATCTGAATTCTACATGTCATTGGCATCGCTGTGCTTTCTACGTCAATCACCTAACCAAATGGTCTCCCATTCTCCATTCCATTCTCTGCAAATGACACACACTGATGGTTTATAAACCAGCACCTCCCCCTCCATAAAATACGAATGTGTGATGTAATGCGTATCCCTGTCCGATGTAAAGGGACAGTGTGGATGTTGGAAAGGTGCACACTAAATACGGATAGCAGATGATTTTTGCTATGTAACATAGGTAATATAATCGAAAACTGAGAGGTGTATTGGACAAATAAACATTTTAAAATAAACATGCAAACTGTAGCTTTAAAATGTAATAGACATCCCACCAAAAGTACTCTAAACTGATGTTGGGAAACACTGGCCTAACGTCATGAAATGCGCTGAATAGGAATTCTGGCCTGGAAATGACATGGCTTATGTTCGGACTGTTGATGGAATCTGCCGGAACATTTTAATCTTACTCTTCATGTACTTCGTGGTTTTTCCTTTCCTTTTTTTTTTCCTGGAAATATTTCAGAAATAAAGTGACTCATTTTCCCAGCATAAAGGTATATTCTAACCCACAGGGATATCTCATCGTTTTTAACATGAAATAAACATTATAACAATTCTTCAATTTTTCATTTTTATCCAATATCCCTACAGCATCTGTGTGATTGGTTATGTTTAATAGATATATTTTTCATTTCGCAGAAGATTTTAATACCCTTGATACAGTAATAAATGGACACCAAAAAAAAAAAAAAAAAAAAAAGCATGTCTTTTGAAAGTTGCAAACAGCTTTACTTTTTAAAAACTTCTCAATTGTTCTGCTAGCAGACTGGGAAACTTTCTTTCCAGGTGTCTCAGAGAAAGGCTCATGTTTTTGTGCCCTGACCACGGCAAGCCATCTTTGAAACTCATTGCTGAAATGCGTGATAAGCCCGTGTTTGATAGCCTTTGACCCTGTCACCTTTGGTCTTACTTGTCAATGCTTGGTTATTGCTGTATGCATTTGGGCAGGGCTTGTATGGGTTGAGGGCCTGCGGTAATGCTGATTCTCAGAACTGGCAGACTCTAGAGAATAAAGACAGGGATTTACAGTTCAGTAAAATTGTTTAAAAAAAAGAAGGAAAACATGAAAGTTGAAATGAGATTTGTAAAGAATGGAAACTGTTGTATTTGGATTTGTGTGTCTAGTGCAACATGCCAACTCCTCATTCAACTTTTGGGGCTATGGATCCTTAATGCCTTTTATTTTCTTATGGTTTATACAATTAAAATAGGTTATCGGAGTTTTTTGTTTGTTTGCTTTAGAAAATTTTAAAATACAAAAAAACGTACACGATCTACTGGTCATGTTTTAGAGTGTTCTGTGGCTCAGCCAACGGGGACCCCCCCCCCATCACCACTTTCCAGATGGAAAATACCTCAGTTATTAGGGAAATTAATGTCCGAGTCCCAAGAAAGCAATAATGTTATCACTCACATCACTGGGGGATCTTCAGTTCATGAGAGCCTTAAAATATCTTTGGCTTTAATTGCTGCTCTTGTCATAAATGAACACTGCCCATTTATGTATCGGATTAGAGTCTCTTTGATGACTGCAGGGTCTAGAGGACAATGACTGTTCATAACTGGCGTGCCCACTGGATAAAGTACTTTACAGAGGATTGGAGGGCTACTTTGGAATTTGTGGGTCGGCTTGATGCTGACTTTTTGTTTTTGTTTTTTTTTTACCCTTCGGAAATATCACTGGATGGCTAAAATCACTTTCTACTCTGACCAATCTTTCTTTACTTTTCAAAGAGCATGTGACCAACTTTCCATTTCATTAAAACGTTGCCGAGCTGAACCACTCTAATCTTTATCGTTACTTCCGTTGTAGGAATCTCGACTCTCTAAAATGAACTAACAAATCGCCAGTGTGGACCACTGACCATGTATTAGTATAGTTGCTTCACTAGCAGGTGACTTCTTAAGACGAAGTGCCTTTCCCCCGTCACGATCCTTAGGGTCCC